TGGGAGCAGGGGGCTGTTATGGGAGGACACAGGATGGATTGTGGGGGAGTCGGGGGTGAATTTGGGGGAAGTAGTTGTTGAAGGACTGGGACTCCGTGAGCGGTGAGAGCAGGCTGGCCTGTGCTAAGCCTTTCTGATGCCTCTGGCAGGTAATCTGCGAAGGGTAGCTAAAGTATTTGGAAAAAATAATAGTTTTTATTATTAAATTAATAGCTCTTTTCAAAGGCTGTCCCACCAAAGGAATAGCAGGTGTCACATTTTGTTCTGTTCCTGCTTCCTTGCTTTTAGATTTCTCTCTGCTTTGGATGGGAAGCGCAACGTTTTCTGAGCTGCTGACTCCTGTGAGGGTTAAATGTTTCTGTCCCAAGTGTAATTTACTCAACATAGATGAGGAATCTGAGTCTTCTGTTGAGGAAAGGACCTTCATAACTGGGAAACATCCTTCTGTCCTATTTGCTGCTGCATAGTTCCTTTCCTTTGGAATTTAATAAGCATGGGGCCATCAAATGGAGACGAGGAAGAGAAGAGTGTAATCCTGATCAGTGATGATGAAGCTGAGAACACGCTTGGGAGTTCAGTTGTGTTAGTAGACCCATTAGGTAAGTATTGTATCTATGAAGTTTTGTAAAGTTTGGTAACTTTTAAGATAAGCTGAAGTAAAATCACAGAGTAACTAGGATTGGAAGAGACTTTAGGATGTCTCTGGTCCAACCTGTACTTTCAAACAGCACGGTCTGTTGTTATTTTCCCAACACAATTTTGAGGTCTTTCAATGAGCAGAAAGTGGCGCAATAATAGACAAAATGAAACATACTTATTCTCCTGAAGTCCGTAGAAAGGAGCGTTTTTTCATACCTTGGAATTTTTCCAACAGCACTAATTATGCTAAAGAATACTGCTGTATAGGTTCAAAAATATCACTAAGCTGTCTGAGACTGGGCCCTTTTTGGTGTTCATTGGACCCCTTTTAGTTAAATTATCTCTCTCGATAGGTGGAGGATTTTGTCCCAGGTCAGTGTACCTTTTTTTATTGTCACGATATGAAATCATAACAAAATCCCTGCCTTGAAGTGCTTCAGAAATAAATGTCAATAGCTGATTTAATTTGTAATGAAGCTGTAGTTATTTTGTACTGATTTATCCTGGGTATTCTCTTTTCTACAGAGACGACTGTCCTGGAAGAGGAGAAATCTGGAGAGGTTGTGGATGAGGAGGGTGAACTAATGGTTACTTTCTGTAAACAAGCCAAAGTTATGCCTCATGCAAGATACGACTGTACAAGACATCCGTTTGAGTATGTTCAATGATGTGGAGGATAATATGGGGGTTTCCTTTTCCACATTTAGTCCACCTTGCAAGTAATCCTGTTAGGATTTTAAGAATTGAAAGCAGAAATAGAGTTGGATAGATATGTAGCCTGTGCCGTAAACAATGTTTTGTTTTTCAACTCTGTAGGCGAATGGAATGTGATACATGTTCACCCCTTGGAAAAAATGCTGATATTTGTAATCAGTGCTACTGCTACATTTGTGATAAGCTAGCTTCTGAGGTAAGGAAGAGCTATAGCAAAGAAACACACAACTTTGAGTAAACTGAATTCCTCAACAGGCTTTGAAAGAAATAATTCTTATGCACAATTAAAAGAACAAATGATACATGACATTTTGATTATTTTAACAGTTCCCCTCCAAAACGTTGATATCTGTCGTCTTTGGTACAGATCCCAAACGCTGGGATCTGTCGTCTTCCCAATACTACTAATACTTTCCATTTGGTCAATGTCTGAGGTTACTTCTAGTAAACTGGGAAGTTATTGGAACGGCTCTTTGCTTGATCTAAAAAAACGTAGCTCCTGTTTGCCTGAGGCACACGGTGTATTTCATGCTGTCTGTTTTAGTAATCTGATTCCTTTTCACAGCAGTAGATGAAGGTCAAACTCTTAGGTTTTTCTAACCTGAGACTAAGGTGAGGGGAAGTTGGGTTTTTTGTTTGTTTCGGTTTTTAAGAGTTCAAAAGTTTTTGAACTGTGAAAGATGTAGGGGGGAGCATCCGAAAACAGTACTCTGTTACCAACCCACTGGGAGAATGCCGGCCCTAAGTGTTCCTGTAAGGTGTTTGGGAATGAGGGGGAATTAGTGGGGTTTTTTTTTCCTTTTCTTTTCATGCCATGGTATCGAGGTATTGCCATATTGACCTCCTGTCAATACGTCTCACTGTGCCTTTGCCTAGTCATGTAAAGGATGAAGTGAATTATAGTCCTTCACTCAGAGAGGAACTAACTCTTGATTTGCTCAGCTGAAACAAACACTTTTCCTGTCTTTCACTTTTTGTGAAATAGTGCCAGAACTGGACAACCCCTTCCCTTTGTCATTGCAATGCGCATAACAAAAGCAAATTCTGGAAGGACCAGCGTGATTTTGCCTTGGCTGGTGTTCTTGTAATGTTCAATTTGGAGCTCACAGACATAGATGCAGACCTTCGGCATGGTGGTGAGTATTATGCTCTCATATTGTCCCGGAAGACCAGTGGCTCACAATGGCTGCTCAGTCTGTGGCTTGATGACCTTTGTAACCTGCAAGGGCAATTTCTTCGGTCCACAGCCCTCTTTGCTAAGGCTTGGTGAATTGTTTGGGTGGTAGCTTACTTTTGCTACCTTTTTCCTGGGGCGTACACAAACCAGACACAAATCTGCAGGTCTAGTCACGCGTTTTCCTCCTCCAGGAAGAAGCAGAAAAGTTTGCCTGGCCAATAAGATTGGGCACAAATAACTTGCAAAACCTTTTATATAAGGTGCATGTGAATGACCGTCTGTTTCTTCATGGTTTGAAGAAGATTTTTGCACTAACAGTTTCACATCTCCTCTGCTCACCCTTCTAGGAAGTCTTCTAATAAATTTTATCCGTGAACTTTCGGTGGAATATAATAAGTATTTGACTGGAGAAAAAATGCCTCCCAAACAATACGAATGTTTTTGTCTCCCAAAACTGCCACCTGGGCAATGCAATACCTGCAAATCACGCCAAATGGAGGTTGTGTACAAGTAAGTGACGGCAGAATTCAGTTACTCGGCTACTAGCAATACATCTTGGTCAAAGCAGGTTTGTTTTCCTTTAGTCAAGTAATAATTAGAATCATGGCAACCTGAAAATAGCTGAAACGTAACTGAGACGGTTTAGCCAGTGGGAAGTTGGGTTGCACTTGGATGTAGTTTAAGCAGCCCCCTAACTACATCTTTAAATAAATCTCTCCTGCTGTGCTAAGATGCTTGATTATTATCAAGGATCTTAGCATTGTTAGGTTATTGATAATTTTATCATATGCTTCATTATTATAGTTTAGGGAAGCATGAAACTAAAGCCCATATTCTTTCTAGTCTGCTAGGACTGGGTTCCACTTTTAGTCCAGTGTGTGCCTCCAGAATGCTTAAAAGAAAACTTGTGCAAATGCTCTGTCACTGTCTCCTGGATTCTCATCAAGGAAAGACGAATCAACTTGCTTTCAAACTACAGAATGGTCATAATTGCCATTTGTTTACAAAGTACATCATGGGCTGCTTATCTTTCTTAGGTATTCTGGAGTTTTTGCGCTGGTAACCAGATTTTTAAATCAGGCAGAAAGAGAGAATCCTAAAGCTGCTGCTGTCATGTTTCTGGGAGCAGCTAAAGAGATAGCACTTCATAAAGACCCTGCTTTGTAAGTATCCCGTTCCACAACTGATGTGTAATCCTCATTTGCCTCTCAAGGGGAAGAGAATAAGCAAGAATGCTGTTTTCCCATGTATTAAGGGAAAGGATACTGTAAATATCGCAGCTGTGGTGGCAGCACAATAAGAGGAACATGAGTACACCTGAGGGAGAAATGAAATTGGTTACAAGGGGGGATTTAGGGAAAAGAGAAGGGCTGAGGCTGGATGTGGGAGGAAGGAGTTGACTGGGATTGAGTCAGGAGGGGGAGAGATGATCTCAGATGAGGGGAGGGAACTGGGAGGAGAGAGGCAGGAAGACAGCAAATGGTGGAGGGTGGGAACTGATTCCGCAGGAGAACGTACAGGGGCAGGGGAGCTTTCCTGAGAGAACAGACAAGCTGTGTTGTGCAGAAGAACTTCTGCTTCCGAACTGGAGGGAAGTGAGAATGTGATGTTCTTCAGGTGACAGGTCTTAGAGCCCTCCTGTAAGCCTCCAGGAAGCTGACCTGTTTCAGTGAGAGGATGCAATACTTAATAACTTTTTTAAAAAAGGCTTTAAATGTTTCAGTCTTTGCTACTTATCTTGCTGTTTCTTTTCCTGTTTACATCATTTGTGTTTGTTGTGATGCACACGTGCATGTTTCGTGCTTCTTTACTGCCTAGCTTGAGCAAGGTCCCAGAGCTTTCCTTTGCAAAATCTAAATATTTTGGGTTTTAAATTCAAGGGTATCTGCAAAGCAGCAGTAAATGTTTCTGACTTGTCAAACCAGTTCAGACCACAGCATCTTCTCTGCAATTCTTTTTTCTGGGGAACTGTCAGGATTTGCAAGGAGCAGGCTGGATGTATTATTTGAGTAAGTCTCTCTCTGTATGCTTTTCTGAGTCCCAGAGCTTTCACTGTAGTCAGATGGGATGTGGTTTGATCGTCTCAGGGGGCTGATGACGTACAACCCTTTGGGACCCTGCACGGTCAAAGATGTGCACTTGGTGGCCTAATAAAGCAGGGTAGGTGATTAGGTACTGCTGTACTGTCTTTGTGTGTGACTTTGGTATACTTTAGTGCTGTAAAACAAACAGTGTTAATTCTAGAATATAAAATGTTTTTACAATTTAAGCACTTGCTAAAACTGTTTGGAATAATTCTTATTACCTTTTTAGCTCCCAGTGCTCTTTTAAGGAAGTGTTTTGCTCTTTTAAGGAAGTGTTTTCCTAAGCAGTTGAGCATAGGGAAGGAAAAAAGGTAGAAAGAGAACATAAGCATTAAACAGTGCATTGTTTGTTTTGTTTATTTTCTTAGAAGCTGGCAGAACCTTGGTCAGACTGCTTCATTAAAGATTGCTGTCCCTTGTCTGCTGCAAAGGTGAGACTTGTCCTCTCATATAATGCTGAGGTGTCAACAGGATGGTTGGTGGCCGCAAACTTTCTGCTATGGTACTTGTACAAAACACATTTAAGATGACTCTTCTCCAAAAGCATAAAGGAAAATGGGAATGCCTTAGCTCTTAAAGGCCAAAAGTAAATTTGCACAGCTCCAGAATACAGATATATATAGTCTTATGGATCTGTAGCATCAGGAACCACTATCAGGGAAGAGCACCAAAGCAAGGAGAGCCTACTGCCTGGGTGTAAACTGCAGACGGGTAGGGAAAGGCAGAAGAATACAAAGCAACAACAATATGCACCAGTCTGCTCTATAGGCAGATACCTTAGCATGCTATCGTGTTTTACAGTTATACGCTACAAATTGGGATTTGGAGCCGTTCTGTTGAATATTAGTCCACTTTTTGTGAAGAACAAAGGCAATATCTGCCTTGATCAGCCCCATGTAAACATCCAAAAACCCTTGGATAACTTTTAGACTGTAGTCTAGGAGTGTTTTGTAAGGCCAGACCAGAAGATGGTGTAGCTACTTGCGATTAGTAAGCCTGAGAGTATATAGCGTCTGTTAAGAATCAAAACATGAGCCGTCTAGTCCTCAGCAAGGGGGGAGTAGTCAGGGATGTAACATAGTAAAGTTCCCCCAGAGGCTGATGAATGAGGACATCTAGCTCGCTTGGCTTAATTCATTTCTCATTTTAGCTTTATACTTCACCTTTAACCTGAAACTCACTTGCAACAGAAGATTAATGAAATAGGAATTAACTTTTTTTAGGAACACTCAAAAACGATTATACATCCCACTTCCTATTTGAACTAATGATGGGTACAACCTAAATCCTATACTGAGTTTCATTTTAAGTGACTACTGGTGAATTGATTAATTTCTGACTTTAAAAGAACAGGAAAGGCAAGACGCTATTTTTTACTCTCTCCCTCAGATTTAAAAGGGTAGGCTCTGATTTGTGTCAGTGTTTTGTCTTAACTGAAAACTGTAGGTGATGAAGACTTCGCTATTCTTAAAGTTGCCAAGAGTTCAGATCAGTAATCACGTAGTCATGCTGGATTGTTATAGTTTAATGACACTTAAGGTAAATTGTGAAGTGACATGCTGTTGCTTTTATGATTTACTTCAGAAATGACATTAAAGGAAATTTTAAATGCAACTGATGTTTACTGTTCTTAGTTTTTTGCATTTCTCTTGGCACAGACAGTAATCAGGTTGCTTATCTAGCTCATTGTATGCTGCTGCAGTAGTGTTTCTCCCATACACTCAGTGGGATTCTGTCTTAAAAAGCAATAGCAAAGAGCCTTGGTTTCATTGGTGTTTAAAAATAATAACAAAAATGCAATCCTATTAGTTATGAATTTAAACTTAGTTCCAAAATGTCTACCTGAAATATTAAAAAAAAAACAAAACAAAAAAACTACAGACTGGTTTCCCATGGGTTTAAGAAGAAGTAGTCTACATGATTCATCTGCTTTTAAAAGATTCTGACTTAATTCCTCAAGGATCTAACTCTTTCTTTTTATAACACAGAATCACAACACAACTTCAAAGGATGCTGGTGTTGTGTGACTTCCCAAAAAGCTTGTATGAAAAGTTTGTTAATTTTTTTCAATCCATATCACTTCCATGTCACTGTTTTGGCTTCTCAAATAGGTATGTTGTTTGTTTTTAGAATATGTTTTTATATAGTTGCCTAACTTGAATACAGCTATAGAGAATAGTTCTTTCACTGATGGTTCTAGAGATGTGTGTGTTGTTAAAGGAATGTTTCAGAATTTTTACCTACTTTTTACCTGAGCTGTCCTTACCATAGTGGAATATTGTTGTTTAATACTATGGCTGAGCTGTTGTCCATACAGCCACTTTTCAGAAATGAACTATAAATTTCAAAATACTTTATTAGTAAAATCATCATGCTACTTAAAGAAAATAAATTACACTGTGCCAATGAAGTGCATTAAGAATGACATTTTTTTTTTTTCCTTCCAGCTTAAATGTTGTACCATGGGACCATGTATTACTGACCACTGTTTTAAAAGGCCAGAACATTACTGGCCAAAGAACACAGAAAGGAAGAAAAGTATTTCTGTGGGAAACACTTCCTGTTATACAGGCTCGAGTGGAGAAATTGATAGACAAAACAAAGTAAGATTGGTTTGGTCTTGTTTTGGTTTTTTCATTTTATAAACTCAACTTTGTTTTGCATAGTATTGACTGCAATACTGTGTTTCGGTTCTGCAAAAGTTATGCATTATGGGGAAACATAAAAAGTGAAAACGTATTCAAAGCTTCTCGTGCCTATTACTTGTTATAAACAAGTCTAGTATTTTTTTGAATGATTCCAAAGCAGAAACAAGAGCCCTCTTTGTACTTCAGGACCCTAAAAGAATAGCAAAGTGGAGAGAACTACTTTGTTTACATAACCTCAGTAGGTCTTAGATGCTGACATTTAAAATAAGTCCTATTGATCAAAGGCTGACTAGGTGGGAGACGGCAAAAAAGCATGTTCTGATCTCTGGGTCTTTAAGTGTGAATGCAAGCGACTTAATTAAATTGCAAGGCAATCTCATTCTGTTTTGCCAGCGTACATAATTTATCTGAGAACAGCTGCTTATTTCAGCTATCTGCTGTGTTCAGTAGTGTCTTTTTTGGAACTTAGTCCCTTGGAAAGTTCATTAGCAAAGCAGAACATCCATACTATATAAACAAACGTGGTTTCTTTGCGGCTTTATGATATGGAGGCAGGTCAAGTTGAGGCTTCGTTCAGGTCATCTTCCCTTACTCTAGTGTAAGGGTAGTGTTGTTTTTTTTGGATATAGGTATGAAGTAATTTGTAATGGTAGGTATGTCTTTGTCCAGAGATTTTGCTCTTTGAGTTTATCAGAAAATGGCACAAAGGCAGTTTTAATTTACAGCACTTCAGTTTTGTATTTGCAGCCAAATGTCTCTTCTCTGCCAGTTGTACTTCTATACTGTTTTTGCAATGTCTTCCATGTCGGAAGAACTTCTGTTTTATTTTACTAATTGTAATAAATATTTGATTAACCTGTACACAGGCTAATGCTTCCTTTTCTCCCCCCCCATCCCCAGCTATAAAGAAGTTGTTCGCTACCTGAGAGCTGTGAAATGCAATGATGCCAAAGGGTAAGTGACTCTCTTAATTTCTTTGCCTTCAGATTGTCTCAGTCTGTGTTTTAACCTGAAATAGAATGGCAGAGTGCAAAGCAGCAAGATGTTGGTGGCTGTTTGCTCATGGAAAGTAACATTGCATTGCAAATGCTTTCTGCCTTACCGGTTGTAGTGTATTAGTTAAGTGTAGTTGGATACTAAGTGCTATCAAACTTCCATGTTAACAAAAATCAAATGATCAGTTTTCTTCTTTCCAGGTTAAGAGACCTTAGAGATAAAATCCCATTCTATTTGTGTAAAACTGGAGACTTCCTTGATGCTGCACATTCACTGTTGTTTCCAGTCAATAGCCTTGCGTGCTGTACTGCCTGCCGGGTAACACCGTTACAATTTGAAATCTACTTAAAGATGTTCAGAACAGGCAGTGTCCCCAGTGGAAAGGATTTTCAAGACTCTGGGCCTTGGGTTACAATTGGCAAGTATCCTTTTTTGTTTTCATAGGTTTAGAGCCTTTCTTGGTTGCAGCTTTTACTTTCTTACTAAATTTAGTAACATTCTAAGGGATTCTGAATTCAGCAATAAATTCTCCAGGCTAACATGTAGTACGTAACACTAGGCAAGAAGGAAGTCTTTAGATTTGAGCATAAATTTGTTTAGCGCGCTTAGCAGAAAAAGCTGACTTTGGTCAGCTGTGAATCTATTTTTCTCAAAGCAATCTCTTTAAAAAAGAAATACAAAGCCCTTTATTAGATCATGACACTACCAATGTCAGTCTATAACTTAGCCTCATGATATGTCTCAACCTTGACCTTGAGGATGAAGGCTTTCTGATGGAAAGATCAGTGTATTTCATGATCTGTGTATTGCGTTTTGTTGTTAGATCAGCGGCTGCTGACTGATCTGGCTTGGTTCATGATATTTGTCAAGAAGGTGTATTCTGAAACAAAAGACTTATTTTAGAGATGCTGTTCTGTTACTAGTAGAAGTCTTAGAAGTATGAGATTGACAGTGTGTACCACGCTGTGCCGTGATACGGTGTACATAATGAAGGCTATTTTGGATCATCCTCTACATTGACTTACGCTAAATTGTATTTAGTCCTTTGGGCAGCTTTCTGGGATAACGTTTTACGGTTGATGCAGACTCTGTATAGAAAAGCTGCAGGCCCTCCCTTATCTTATTTTTGTTAGATTTATGTAGAAGTGTATCTGCAATGAAGTTAATGTCTTGTTTTTGTTTATACACTGTAGTTATTTGGAGGATGCAAGATATATTTGGGTTTTTCTTCTTGCAGGGTCTCCTTTGAAAGACGGTGTTCTGATTAAGCAGGCACTCAAACTGCTTTACAGCAATATGTTGCTATACAGGAATGTGAGTCTGTATTAAAATTGTGTTTCTGTGACCCACTGACTATTTCTGCACATGTCTACTTTGTCCACATGCTATTTCTCTAGTACAAGAGTTTACTGTCAGGGTGCTTTTTACATAGTTCACACTTCCCTGAAACTTTTTTCTCCTGTGAGTTGTTTTGGTTGTTTGTTCTTGTTTGTTTTTTATCACTCGTTCGGAAAAAATTGCGAGCGAAAAAATTTTCTCAAGTATCATTTCTTCAGTCCTTTTTTCCCTAACTGTAGACCTTGGAGTTCGTGGCTCCTATCTTGAGGTGCTATGATGTACTTACCACAAACCAGATACAGGTCTCAAATTGTGTAAATTGTCCACTGGCTCAGCTGGGAGGTTACTGATACAATTATGACAAATGTTGTATCTTTGTAGTCATTGCAAGCTTACTCAGTTCAACAGCATGCTGTAGTAATGAGGTAACAACAAGCGAAAGTGCCATACGTATATTGAATATGTCTTTACTGTTATGCTATTCAGCTGTTTTAGGCAGTTCTCCATCCTAAGTTATGCATGCTCTGATACTTGTCAGTGGGGCTGTAATGATAACACCAGCTACAGGTCTGTTCATCGGCCATAAAATAGAAACATGACAGATGAGGAAAGCGTTGCCTTTTGCTACAGATAAGGTAACATGGATGGGGTGTTTGCCACCTGACGGAATTCAGGGGCTGAGAAGCCCTGAACATTAGTGTGCAATCTGAGCGCATACAAGTAATGTTTCCATTATATAAGGGAATGAAGAAAGCACTTTATTTTCCTTTGATCAGGTTATTTAAGGAAAGCCAAAAGAACCTAGCTGTTCTGAAAATACTGAATGCCCGTCTAATTGTCAAAGAGGCATATTCTGATTGCAAAAGGTTCTGGTTTATTTACCTAGTTCTATCTGGTTGGCTGAAGGACTTCATAAAGTAAAAGTTCTGCTGTGTTTCAGCCCAAATGTTGGAGTTCTCTCATCATGATTTTGGGCAGTAGCAGTTTGCTGGGAAAAAACGGATACCTACATCCCTTGTCGTTGAAAGAGCCACCACTTGAATTCCAAGAGGTAACTGGAAAAAATACTATAAGATGGAAGCATTTGTTGTTTTGGTTTTATATTAGGCTTCATTTGGTGTGGATATTGGCTCATTCTTTTAAATATTGAGGTTAGCTTTACAGTGCATTATCAAATACTCTTGGTATGCGCTGAATCTAATCCTTTGCCTGCAAAATGTGGTGACTCAGGTGTCAGTTATTCAGACTCACCTGTTGAAAACAACTGTCCTCCCACAAGACATGTTGCAAATATCTAGTAAAAGCTATGTTTAAGTTCTAGTGAAAGCTGTTTAGGTTGGTTTATTTTACTTTGTATGTCTGTTTTTCTTTCTGTGAGATGAAAGGGTGTGTAAATCTCCATTTTTTTTTAGCAAAGTTGATGCACAGTGACCTGTTCCTCTGTCTGTGCCCAAAGTCCCTGTGCATGATCTATTGTTTGGACAAGCTATGCTGTAGTACCTTTGTCACAGATGCAGCTTTTCCCCCCAAGCGTCAAAGCTTCATAAGAGCTCTTCAGGATTGTGTTTAAAATGTAGATGTTGTACCTGCTAGGATATAGCTGATACCTCAGTCTGCGCCTACAGAACCAGTCTACTGGGAAGCTCACTTCTGTTTCTTACATCTAACACACAGCACAGATATGTCATGGTGAGCGCAAAGAAGCATTAAATGTTGTGGTAAACAAGTTAACTCTGCCTGCAGAGTGCCTAATACTGATTCTGTATCTTCTAGTGTTAAGATAAATCAGATAACCGCAGAATAGATAGGAAAGCAGTTGCCTTTCTTTATGAAAAATGTACTCTAATAGTTTAAAAGAGCCAATATCTGGGTATTTTTTCAAAGGTGCAAAAATAAACGTCTGCTAAGCATAGTAGGTTAAAATGAAGAGGTTATGTGATATTGCTTAGTAGGTGCTGTGGAATCTCAAAGAGGCTTGAGGACACCCTTGTAAAAATCAACCTCATCTGTAAAAGGTGCTGCAAAAAATAGATAAAATCACATTAAAGTAGTACATCACAGAATTGTCTTGAGTAGTGTTTGTATATAGACTATATGGGCAGCCTTCTTTACCTGTGACTCAATACTTCTTTTGCAGGGAGTGCTGGCTGCCAGTAGTGGTCTGTTGGATGAGCTGAAGGCAAAAGTTAATATTTCTTTGCCATCTGCTATTTTCTCTTCTCATGTAAGTGTGTGCATGGCAATAAGAAAACTAACCAGTTGTTGTATTGTACTTTAAGAAATTGCCATATTGCAGACAGTCAGACTGTTATGACAAGCTTTTAAGGGGGGCTTGAAGATTTCTGGGAAGTGGCATAAGACTATTCTTAGCATAGTCTGAAAGCTGGACCAGGTATCTGAAAGTAAACGACCTGTAGTCTGTTCTGGTCTGACACTGCCTTCACCCTGGTAAAAGTCTTAATGCCTTGCTGTCTAAACTTATGCATTTATAAAATGCAGCAGTTGGCAGTTCTCAATCCTGTATTTACTTCTCAGGTTGAGTCATCTTGCGTTGTTTGATTCAAATTGGAGGCCGTTTTTTGAGAGTTGGCAGTATTGCTTGTCTCAAAACAAACGTATGTGATTTTATCAGAATAGCCTGGAATTTCTGAAGTTTTTTGAGCGATGATTTCAAGTGTAGTGGGATATCTCTAAAGGTGATTTGGAATGGGTTTAGTAAATACAGTCAGAAGGTTTTCTAATCTGAAGTATGCAAATCGCAATGATTTGGAAAAACAAGGCGGGTAGAAGCCGTTTGTTTGGAATAAGGATGCAGTCACCTACCTAAGGAGCCATCTTATCCTGCTTGACTTGTCACTGCTTTTGAGGAAATTACACTTAACTTACTCAACTGCTGTGGCTCCTGGGCCGGAATTTTCCTTTTCCACTTAATTGTAGTCCTGCTTTACTGTGATGGTGTCAGACTTCATGTTTCTGTGAGGAGCTGGAGAGCATCAGGTGAAAGATGCTGTATAATGAAGTACCCTTTCTGTTCTCCTATCTTGTGGTCTTCCTAAGATTCTTCTGGATGTAGTGTGACGTCCAACCTCTTTCTGACTGGAGTGGTAGTAATTTCCTGCTGATTTGAATAGATGCAATGGACAAGTAGTGGGAAAGTGGGCTTTTACATATGCGTACTTCTTATTGATATTTCTTCCTGTAGCTGCACCGTGAGGCTTGTCTTATTCTCGCAGTGCAAGCAGTACAGCAGATGCTTTTCTGTGATCTTCCATATTTGAATTCCTTCCTAGAGATAGCCCTGGCATTTGGGGTAAGTCCTAGATATTGAGTTCTGTTCTAACAGATTAAAGCAAATGACACTTAAAATCCATGTAACATCACTTAGAGCTTTTAGGCACATTTAACTCTTTCTTAGCTTTGTTTTATTTAAGCTTTGCTGACCTTTAATTTCTGCTTGGTGTATGTGGTTTTTTGTGGGTGTTTTTTTCTCCTTAAGAAATGACTGATGCCGAGGTTAAATCATAGGTTTAATTTTTATTTTTCATTTTGTCTTTTAATTTTATCTTTTCCTAGAATAACTTCTGGGCTCTGAGGCTATTATTAGACCATCTTTCCTATGAAGAACATGTTCTCCATGGCACTGTCAACTTGATTTTGAGAGATCTGGATTGTCGAAAAGCAACGATGCTAAAACTGTGAGTAAGCATTTGCTTCCTGAAGTCTGGCTGTTTGTTCATGGATGCATTAAGAGTGGTCCCACAGCAGTAATATTCAGCAAAGATATAATCCATAACTCTGAAAATGGCCAGCTCAGTGCTTTAGAAAAGCCAAGAGTGCAAATAGGATGTTAGGAATTAATAGGAAACTAATGGACAAAACTTTGTGTGTAAATGCTGCATCTGTATCTTGAGTGTTGTGCGTGGTTCTGGTTCCTCTTCTCGAAAATACTGTAGAGCTAGAAAAGACAGAGAAGGATGACAAGGGTGATCAGAGATGTGGAACAACCTCTGTGAGAGGAGTCCTTAACCTTGACACAGCCGTCTGAGCTTGGGGTTGTGATACTGATCTGTTAAATCACGTGTGTCCAGCAAAAGGTGCGTTGGGAGTAATTGTTCATCTTCTCTTCTGGTACAAGAACCAGGGAGCATAAAGAGACTCTAATGCGACAGAACAAAGCAGTCTGAGGCTATACGTCTCAAAGCTTATAGTTCAGTGTATATACAGCATAGAGTTGTGGATTTTGTTGATGCAGGATGTTATGGACACTATCTACAGCTAAAACTAAAAACGCTAAGTTTATACAGATTGAAAAACAATTAGATGCATTGCTAGAAGATTGTAAAGTATGACTGGCATGGAAACAGCACTCCTGATGTAAGGAGTTGGCCCTTGAGCTGTGAATCACTGAAGGTGGGGCGAGTATACCTAGAAGACTATGAATTTTGTTCAGCTCTATATGAGCTACCATTGTTCTTCAGCAGCTGTCTTCCTTCAAACGAAAGGCACCTAGGGCATCCCCTTCTGTATGTCTGGCTTGCAGAAGGCCAAGATGCACGTCGTGCTTCTTGCAAGAAGCACGACACTGGGCTAGGTGGGCCATAGATCTGACCCAGTCCAGCTGTTCACATACCAAGAAAGCCTTAAGATTTGTCCTGCTCTTAAGCTCATTGCAAAGAATCTGTTCTCAGTCATCGCTGGTGATGGAATTCTGAGTTAAATGGGCTGTATTTTTTACACAGTATGGTTATTCTTGTGTTTTATATTCATTAGGTGGCAAAACCTTGGTCCTCAGTATGTAGGTGAATTCCTTTGCCTGTTCCTGACTTGCAGACATAAGAAAATGCAATCCATTGGCTTGTTCACTCTGAGTATTATTACAGAGAACCTGCATATGTAAGTGTGTATCTTCCTAGTTAAACAGTAAATCATTAAGTGTTGTGACAGTGCTGATAGTTTTCTTTTGGTTAACACAGTCTTAACTCACAGTTCATTCTTGCTTTTTCACATCCTCATTACTAATAATAGTAAAGATGCTGAGCACCATGTCTTTGGTAGGTTACAATTTTTTCTGTGTTACCTATTGCAACCAAACGGACTTCTAACTTCCCAGTGTCCTGCGTTAGGGCGACATGTTATCTGATTCGGAGAACTGTGACCAGTCAACAGGAAAACATATGATAGCATACAGTCTAGTTTTGTTACTCAAATGTCACTATCCATATCCCTTCATTCTCTTTAAGTTTAAAAAAAAATTATGATTTACAGAAAAAAATTGTCGAACCCGACAAAGGTATAATACTTCAAATATTTGTTTAAAGAGAATATTCTAAAGTAGCTCAAAATCTGTATTGTTTTATATCTACCAAAATACAGTGGGTGCACAGATGTCAACGTTTCTTTTTACTTTGTAAGAAGTACTTCACAAGGTAATGAGAGGAGTAGATCCCCATAAGTGGGATTCAGAAACATCTGTGCATTGTAATGCAAACTGAGGACAGCCTTAAGTTGATGCCTGTCATTCTTCTCTTTTAAAAGAAGAGAGACCACTTACTCTGCAATAGCAAAAAGCTTCAGTGAGTGTGCAGGGAAAATGAAGTTCTGGAAGAGTCTAAGGATTACATCTAGATTACAAATGGTAATAGAGCCCACTATTACCTTTGAGACCCCTAGCTCTTTGTTAGTATAATCCTTGCTCTCTTGTGTTATGCAGTAAAGCATAAGCTTTAGAGCGATGGACTTTCATGTATTGACATAATAGTTTTAAAATCAAAGGACTCCGCGCTCATATACGGGAAGGCAGAATGATTGCCTGCTCCTGCATTTTTAATTCTCATATGTAGCAGATGGCAGCAGAGTAATGTTGAGAATTCGCTTCCTGAGCTGTCTTAACTGGAAATCTAGGAGGTATAAGTTAACCTTCTTTGTAAAAATGCTTTTTTCTGCTTCCTCTCTTCCCCCTTAACTGTGTGTAGCTGAGAAAATAAAGTAGCTGCTTTTATTCAGTTGTGTATGAGCTTGGTTACACTGAAGAAATTTACAGTTCTAATGACTGTCTCTTTTTAACTCAAATAGTCAAAGATTAGAAGCAACTCTTTGTGAGGTTTTACAGTATGCTCTGTCAGAGGTCCAAGAGGAAATCTGGTGAAATCCTGTTGTGATGGTCTAACTTGGTCTTTAAATTCTTTAAATTTGGTATTGAAATCATCTCCATTTGGAAGTTGGAGTGAACTGCTGGATTAGCCTTCAAGCATAGCACTGGAGTATGAACAACTTAGGGAGTGGCTGAAAGTGGACAGATCTGTCCCTAAGAAAAAATGAATTAAGAATCTAAATCTATTTTTTAGGTGTCCATGGGCAAAGCATCTTTGCAACTTCTTTCACAATGCAGTAAGTATCTCTGTATTTCAGAATTAACAGCAAAGCATAAGGGACAGACTTTAGTACTTGAGAGGCAAATGTGTTCTGTCATTTGCTTGCAATGGCTGAGGCAAGACAGTTGGCCTAATAAGTGTATATGGAGAAGCTAGAATGAGAAGGTTAATGAATTCAAGTCTTCTAAGGGTCCATGTTAATACCAATGAAAATTGTACTCAGCGTATGTTCAAACTGGTTGAAAGAGTTGATTTTGACAGCTTGTCTGTTTGTATACCCTTGCATTGAGGTTGGATTCCCTGATGATCACAAGAAATCGAATTGCCAAACACACTAGCTCTTACCAGATCCTAACTTTACTCTTCCTAATAGCATAAAACTGGTTTGACTAGTTTCTGTGCATTTCCACTGAGCGTTTGGTTGTGATTTTTGTCACGTCGCAGGTATTCAGTAAAGCAGCCTAATAACCCTTTTTGTCCCTAAGAGCTCATCAGCTGTCCGTCTAGACAGCCCCTTTGCCCCCAAGCAGGCTAAGATAAAACTAACTACATACTGAATTGCTCAGCACATATTTTAATTAGTTGCCAGCTCAGATTTGTAAAGAGAAGATAACTTTAGTTCATCTAGTTTATTGCCTCTCTTGGGAGGAATCATTACGTGTGGAGCCTTTAGAAGATGAATTTTCTTGTAGTCAGAAACACCGAAAGTCAGGCACAGCTTGAAGGGGAATAAGCCCCTCTCTTTAAAACCACATCCCACAAATAAGCTCACAAGTGAGCTTGCCTGAGGAGGTATCTGAGCCCAAGTTCCTCTATATAAAAATGACAAGTTACTGAAGTGTATTAATCGATTTTTCTCTTGACAGGGATTAAGGCACCTACCCCTTGGCACCACAGCTCATCATGAAGTCTCCAAATTCATAAACATTTTGGAAAAATTGTAATTTAGCAAAATTCATAAGGATTTTTTTAAATTTGTCTTAATCTAAATCTCTTCCTAGATTCCCATGCGTTCTGCCTTGGTTGTCTTCTCTTTCTTCCCTTAAATACCTTCAGCTGAAGAATTGACTTCAAAGCTAAAAATAAAATCCTAGGTTTAGGCGAACAGTGTCTCTATTTCAGTAAGTGTTCTTGAAATTTCCTTTCTTTCAGGGCTGTGTATTAAGCAGTTGTTTTTAGAGTTAGTGGTCATAAATCTAAGAAAACTCAGTCTACAGAGAGATGCTGTTTGGGGTTGGGGGAGAAACAGGAAGGGACAAAGTAGCAGCACGACTCTACTTCTGTTGTGTTGCCCAAATGGGGTTCTGGAGGAGATATGTGCAGCAGAGCAACCGCCGAGGAGGTAGAAGTTTCCTAAGTGAAGGGAAGAGTACAACAGTATGTGTTAAAATGCTGTTTGCCTTCCCTCTTTTATTGGATACATAATTATAAAAAAAAAAAAAAAACCCACTCTTCAAGTAGTATCTTCAGCCTCCATTTTTTTTGTACTTGTATCAAGAAATCAGATTTAGAAAGGCCTAATGCAGTAAATAGCTTGTTTTGCTTGTATATAGAAAATCTAGTTTTCTAGGTTTTTAAACTGCGGGGCTTTGTTTTTACTACAATACTGCAATAGTTGACTGATAGGATGGTACTGATTCCTCTCTTGGTTATTTGAATCCTTATAATGGCCAGTTTAACAGTTGACTTTTGAACTGTGGATTTAGAAATAGAGATATATTTGTAGCCTGATTATACTCTTTTTTAGTTGCACCGTAATATCTGTCTGCATTGGTTTGGTAGTCGAGGGGCAAAAAAAATACTAACATGTGATGTACTGTATTTTGCACACTTACGACTTGCAGTGGCTTTTGCAGCTTCTTTATCCTAAGTCAGCTAAATTATTTTTCAAATTTTCTATAAAAGTGTAGATGTATGTAAAACAATAAGGTGTTAAATAAAAACTTTGTAGAAGTTATGTTTGTTTCATTTCTTTTTTAAGCGGTTGCTGTACTTTTATGTACGTCTTGTTGTCCACGTTCACCCACAACAAGCAGAGTGAAGTGCCCTGATCCGTGTAAATCTGGCTCTGGTGGCTGTCAGCAGGGGTGGGCGCTTGGTGTCTCACTGTAAAAAAAACAGTACACATACACATTGCTTTCCATGTTCCTAATACGATCTTTTTCTCCCTTTACTTCTGTTAACGTATGCATTAGGCTCCTTGGCAGGCCTCATGTGCTGCGTCTGCTTTTTTCATTTTGCCCTAAGTTAAAGCTTTCCTTCCCCGAGCTCTGGTCTGGCTGGTAAAGGCTCCCTGGGTGCTGTCCCAGCGATGCAGAGGGGCCGGGCAGCCTGCTGGGCTCCAGGCTCCAGCCCTGGGCTCTCCCAAACCACCCGTTTGAGTAGTCTCCCTTCATACTAGCCATAAGGGCTTACGTCCTGCTTTGTTTCCCTCCGCTGTGGGTGTGAAAAGACAAAAGCAAAGCCAAGTAGCTCTGCACTGAAAAACGGGGTACCGTCAGGTACAGAGGCAGGCCTTAGCATCCGATTGAACTCGGGGACTGCGTAGACACCGCAGGGTTGCTCTGCTGGGTGCCCCGTGGCTGGTGCAGGACCAGGTGCGGACGGGAGAAGAAGCTGGTGAGGGACGTGCGCTTCGTTACTGCGTGAGGTCTGGATTCCCTATGAAAGGGAAAGGCTAGGAAATGCTTCTGTTTCAGTGGACTAATTGACTAATGTATTCATTTGCTAATGGGATGTCTATTCAGTATTTATCAACTTCTGAATTGTAATGAATTATAGCAGCAATGAGCAAAGTCTCATAGTGAGGTTTATGCTATAGATAATGATATAATCTGATATGTATGAAAAACTGGCTTTCTCTGAAGTTTAGCACTTGGTTGGGGTGTGGTGGGGGGGTTATATTTATACCTGTCTACCCAATGCCACGTCCAATCAACCAAAGTAAAAAAACATCCTCCCACTACCCTGAGACTGGAACTGGTACAATCCCAAAGGTAAATTGATTTCAGCTTTGCTCCAGGTGTAACTGAGATGAACAGGGCTTACTTAAAAATTAAAATGTTTAGTTTGGAGTTGAAAATGTGTGTCTACAGCTGTCTGTTCAAAATATTGTATTTTAGCAATTTTGACTCTGCTGCTCTAGCAAATGTACAGGCAGCTGATGCTGCTAAGCAAAAAATAAAATGTGCAAGTAAATACTCAACTGAAAATCAAATGTCAAATAATGGAGTTGATAGATATGCTTAAAATTTGGAATGGAAATGCCCTCATTGAGCTGGTGGCTGAAGCATGTTGGGACTTTGGTTGGGGACTCTCGCGTATGGGTATCACACTTGCTGTGGAGGGTGTTTCTCAAGTATAAAGCTAAGAAACTCCTCTTCTACAGGACAGATGTGGGAGTCTGTGTTAAGATTTTTTTTTTTTAAGCTGTCTAGTGCTGGCCATGAATCAGCGCGGGCCTTTCAGCTCTTCTCAAGTGGAAATGCTGACGCACGTCCCAAAACCTTTTAAACAGGGCTGCGATGTTCAGAAGCTGAAGGAAATCTGAACTCTTGACGGCATGAGCTCGAGCATGGAGTGAGCGCCTGCGCCGTCTCGCCCACTGAGGAAACTCGGTTTGTGCAATACCCTTTTCAAGGGTTGAGCTGACGGCCAAAGCGGTACGAGGGCAGTCAGGGCCCGGGCCCATCCCCAAGCGCTCTGGCTCTTCCTGCAGTCCCCATACTCTGTATTTGTACTTCCAGACGTTCTCTCGGCTGAGTGGGCTAGAAGAGTCACTCATTTCTACCAAGGACACTAATTAACCTGCTAAATGAGTTTATCCCTACAGTGTGTGCACCAGAGAACTGAGTTATGTAAAATACCCTTCCTCAGCGAGCCATAATTAGCTCCCCTGTTCCGAGGGCAGGCTCAGCCCTTCCTGGGCTCCCGGCTGGAGGGAGCCGGCCCTGCGCAGTGCGCGGGGGCTGCGCTGTGCAACTGCTGCACGGGGCAATGCCCCCTCTGCCTGGGCTGTCGCTTGTGTTCCTGTAGCACCTAGTCTCCTACCGGCATCCCCTTCCTGCTGGAGCCCGATGCTTTCCCTCAGCTGCTGGTGCCCAGCTTTGGGGCCGGAGGAGGGTGGTGTCGGGCTGCGGCTCTGGGCTTCGGCAGTCCCAGCCCCAGTGAGCTTACAGCGACAGCTACCGAGGAGCCAAAAGTACACTGGGTAGCTAATCCGGATTAAAATCACTTTTACGAATCCCCCCAGTGGGCTGCCTAGCATCTTTCTACCCCGAGGCACCTCTGCGCAGTGGGGCAAGCCCATCCCCGTGCTCAGTTAGGAGCTCCGTGCCCAAACCTAAGGCGTGAAGTCAAAGCTGCTAAACACCTTTTTGCCTCCGAGCTGCCTCTGGCCTCCTCTCTGTAATGCAGTGGTGGTGGTATTTATTCTCTTTTCTCCTCTTCTGCGCTGAGCTCTTCCGGGCGATCGCTGTAGCGCGGTGCTTGTACAGCACCTAGCGCTGGCCGGGGTAGCGCCTGCTGCCCCTGCTTTCCGGCTCCCTGTGCTGCTGCACATAAAGGACATCGGAGCAGCAATAATGAGCCGTAGGTGAGTCAGCGCCCAGTTCCCTCGGGACACGCTGAGCGCCTTTCCTGCAGCTGCCAAAACGAAAATACCCCGTTTTAATAACTGGCCTAAGCAAGGCGAAAACCAGCTTGTTGCTGGCCGCCAGATTAACAGATGGCTGCAGTCATTAATATTGCACAACTTCAGGAGTTCGTAATTCTTTAATCCATAAAGGCCGTCAGTGCAGATAACGCGGGCGCTGCAATCTGCCGCGCTGGGGCGAAGGCTGCGGCACGGGGCCGGGGGGGG